TGCTGGAGAGAATGTGCACATCAAGTTTAGGACAAAACGAGGCTGTTGGAGCACAGTTAAGGTTTGGGCTGTGTTGGAGAGAGTGTGCACACCAGGATTAGGACACAGTGAGGCTGTTAGAGCATGTTTAAGGTTTGGGCTGTGCTGTAGAGAATTGCACACCATGTTTAGGACACAGTAAGACTGTTGGAGCACAGTTAAGGAGCTGTGCTGGAGAGAGTGTGCACACCATGTTTAGGACACAGTGAGGCTGTTGGAGCACAGTTAATGTTTGGGCTGTGCTGGAGAGAGTGTGCACTCCAGGATTAGGACACAGTGAGGCCAGTTAAGGTTTGAGCTGTGCTGGAGAGAATTGCACACCAGGATTAGGACACAGTGAGGCTGTTGGAGCACAGTTAAGGTTTGGGCTGTGCTGGAGAGAATGTGCACACCAGGATTAGGACACAGTGAGGCTGTTGGAGCAGTGTAAGATTTGAGCTGTGCTGGAGAGAATTGGACGCCAAGTTTAGGACACAGCGAGGCTGTTGGAGCATGGTTAATGTTTGGGCTGTGCTGGAGAGGATGTGCACACCAGGATTAGGACACAGCGAGGCTGTTTTATCACAGTTAAGGTTTGAGTTGTGCTGGAGAGAATTGCACACCATGTTCAGGACACGGTGAGGCTGTTGGAGCAGTGTAAGGTTTGGCTGTGCTGGAGAGAATGTGCACACCAGGATTAGGACACAGTGAGGCTGTTGGAGCACAGTTAAGGTTTGAGCTGTGCTGGAGAGAGTGTGCACACCAGGATTAGGACACAGGATTAGGCTGTTGGAGCCCAATTAAAGTTTGGCCTGTGCTGGAGCAGAATGTGCACACCAGGATTAGGACACAGTGAGGCCAGTTCAGGTTTGAGCTGTGCTGGAGAGAATTGCGCACCAGGATTAGGACACAGTGAGTCTGTTGGAGCCTAGTTAGGGTTTGAGCTGTGCTGGAGCAGGATCCTCAGGGCGCAGCAGTGATTTTGGAGGGTTTGCTGTGGGTTTGCTGTGGGTTTGCTGCCGTGCAGGCTGTGTGTGACCAATCAGGACCTGTCCACAGGTACTTCACGCTGTTCATGAACCTGCTGAACGACTGCAGCGAGGCGGAGGAGGACGGCGCGGCGGCGGGCGGCCGCAAGCGGGGCATGTCCCGCAGRTTGGCATCGCTGCGCCACTGCACCGTGCTGGCCATGTCCAACCTGCTCAACGCCAACGTGGACAGCGGCCTCATGCACTCCATAGGTAACGCCCCGCAGGCGGCCGGGCGCGCGGCACCGCCTGCCACGCSCCTCGCTCTTCGCTCTGCTTTGACATCTCCCTCAGTAGTTCTGGCTTCTTTTGAGCAGGTTTGGGTTATCACAAAGATCTCCAGACCAGAGCCACGTTTATGGAAGTGCTGACCAAGATTCTGCAGCAGGGGACGGAGTTTGATACTTTGGCRGAAACGGTGCTCGCGGATCGGTTTGAGAGATTGGTGGAGTTGGTTACCATGATGGGTGATCAGGGGGAGCTCCCTATTGCCATGGCTTTAGCCAATGTGGTGCCTTGTTCTCAGTGGGTAAGTTGATTTATGCATTTTATTTCCTACAGTTTAAAAAATAATAAACTTGAAATAAAAAGTAGTGAAACAACAGTCTGGTACAGAGAGAATAGAGCTATCACTGACAATAGCTAGCCTCTCTTASTGTGTTCTTGGAAAGTGTCCTGAATWTRAGTTCAGATCTTGATGATGAWCTGCATTTTTATRRTAAATTTTTAGTTAATGTCTAGGARTGATTTTATATACAGTTAYTATAATRAATGCATGYCGRCTGGTTATTTATTACAGGTGGTGTGTGCTGTAATGCTGACACACAGATTTGTATTTGCTCTTCTAGTTTTCAGCAAGATGAGTTGTGCTTTGTTATACAGCAGAATAACTGTGTGTCTGTTTGGATAACCATTATGAGTTTGTATGACTGGATATCCTGAGGCAGAGTTTTAGACAAGCAGTAGCATAGGAAATGTTTGCAGAGAGATTGTGTCTGTGTAATTTGATATTTACCTGCCAGACCCCATAGCACACATAAAGCTTTATTGCAAACTGCTTAGAGGATTTGTCATAATACTGKTTTTTTATACTTGCCTTGGCTCCCTGTGAGTCACATTAACACTTCCTCCTCATTTTCAGGATGAGCTAGCTCGTGTCCTGGTCACACTCTTTGACTCCCGGCACCTGCTTTACCAGCTCCTCTGGAATATGTTCTCCAAGGAAGTYGAGCTGGCAGATTCCATGCAGACACTCTTCCGAGGAAACAGCTTAGCCAGTAAAATCATGACTTTCTGTTTTAAGGTACATTATCTCTTTTTTTTTTTCTCTGCTACAGATCTCGATAGCAGGAAAAGTTTAGTAATATGAAAATACAAAGCCAGTCTGTGGGGTTAAGCACTTGAGTAATGGAATTTAGATGAAAACCATACAGAGTTGCCTTTGGGTCTCAGGTAGAGTTAGTCTGAGCTGTCACATCTGTCACATCTGTTAGTCTGAGCTGTCACATCTAAAGTTTAGGGAGTTTTGCTTGTTTGTTCTAACTTTGCATGAACTAAATCTTGTAGGTAACTTATGCTCAGGCCCTTGAAAAATAGGTATCTCCCTGGCACTAACCTTTTGCCTTTCTGATWGTTCAATTATATGAATGATTCTGGGCCAGTACCAGCTGGAAGACTGTTCCTGGTAAAGTCTGAGATCTTGTTTGTGCTCCCATTTCAGTTTAAAAAGTTGTGTACAGACAGAGATGAAGTGTGGAGTCAGTGCCCAGAGAAAAAAATATCTGCTGGTCAGCATGGTTGTTAATTTTCTCTAAATTTGAAATTAATTAAAATACCTGTAGAAACTGATCTCAGTTATATTCCAGATGTGAAACTATAATATACAAACCTGAGTTTTACAGGAATATGGCTTATGCCAAAACCAATCAAGTGTTTTCAGGCTCTGGAAAGCTTCCAGAACTTTGCAGCATTGCTGTGATGGCTGTGTCAATCTGTCCTGTCCCTGTTTCCCTGCACACAGGTCTATGGTGCTACGTATTTGCAGAAGCTGTTGGAGCCTTTGCTGCGGACTGTGATCACATCCCCTGAGTGGCAGCATGTCAGCTTTGAGGTGGATCCAACAAGGTTTGAGATTCAGGGCAAGCAGCAAATGTATCTGTCTGTAAACATGATTCCCACTCATTGTATATGATGGGATTCCTTTTTCTTTGATGCAGATATTTTTCTCATGCTTCCATACTATTACCTCTTGATTTTCCAGACACATTAATTATCTCTGTTGCTTTAAATTTTCTCTAACTTGTAGAATAATCAAAAGTATTCATCTCTTAAGTTGCTTACTCAAAGATAGGCCTTTTAATTAATACTTTTGCTATCAAGTATCTCTGTCTACCTCAAAAATTCCTTTCAGATAAAGCATCATGAAACTGATAATACAATTATCAGTTGTGATTGTGTATGCATGTGTTTGTATGAAATGGTCTGAGAGAATCCCACCTGCAGCTGTTCATTACTGAGTTTTACATGAYCTTTTATTTGTACTTTACGTGGTTTAAAACAGTGATGGGAACTTTTTTGTAAAAGATCATGAACAAAGAGGAAATGAGGTTCTTACGGAGAATGTGAGTGCAGCTCGTGTTTGATTTCTGGTCACACATGTGTGGCTCTGTTACAGGCTGGAGCCCACAGAAAGCCTTGAAGAGAACCAGAGGAGTCTCTTGCAAATGACAGACAAGTTTTTTCAGGCAATCATTAATTCCTCCTCGGAGTTCCCACCCCAGCTGCGCAGTGTGTGCCATTGTTTATACCAGGTATGCCTGCAGTGCTTGTCTGCCCCTACGCTTTGGGGGTGCTTTGTGAAATTCTGGCAGTTTGAAGCTTGGTGCTGGATACAGGGGGAATCTCCAAACATTCTCCTCAGATGTTTGTAAAGTAGCACGAGACTGAAGGTAGGGGCTAAGTGGTATTTTAGGGCTTGGGCTGGCAGTCAGGAGGTGACTGAAAGTACCATGTTCCCTGAGCTCCATCCCCATTTCCTCTGCTCTGTCCCTTGGCTGCTGAGCCCAGTGTCCTGCTGGGTCTCCTTGTGTGTTTTTGATGAATTCAGTTGCTGCTAAACCTCCCAGTAAGAATTTCCTTGGTGCTCATACAGTTTCCAGTCCACTTGGAGGATTGTCACAGAAATGCTGTGCCTTTTGGAATATTGGAGCTGTGGCCTCAGTGAAGGGCTCTGGAAGAGCTACTTTTGGCCTTTCAGCCACAGYCTGTATCTCAGGTTTAAAGCAAAACCAAAACAAATGGATTTTCTGATCTGTGTGAAGTAATGATAACAAAAATCCTGTCCAGTCCCATTTGCAGAGTGCTGGGGTGATCAGGGCAGCTGCTGCAGTCCCCAGAGCTTGGGGGTGACMACAGGGAATGGATTTTGTGACTGTTGTGGTCTGGGGTTGTTGTTGTGAGCCCTTGCATTGAACCAGGTGTGTAAATTCTGAGCTTTGTTCCTGCCCTGGCAGCTCTAAAAGGCTCAAAAGCCATCGGTTTCTCTTCCTGGTGGTGATTGTGTTTGGGTTTATGACTGGGGTTTTTGGGGTTTTTTTTGATGTGTTTGGTTGTTGTGATCAGGAAATGAGGTGGTCAGATTGGTCTCCTTCAAGGCTGCAGTGTCACAGATGTCAATTAGAAGAATATTTGAGTGTTACTGAAAATATCAGACACTGCTTTGGTTGTTCCCCCTGTTATTGGATGTTTCATTCAATAACACAGCTCATCCTAGAATTAGGTTTATATGCCATTGCCAGGATGTGTCAGATTATTGCCATTTCAGTGGTACATTGGTAGAAATTATTGCTGTGCAAACCATTGATAATTCCTACATGGAATGGAATTTCTAAAATGTGCTCACCAGTGGGCATTCCCAGAGATTCTTCTATGGAAGCCTTTCCAAGTCTGTTGGCTTTATTCTTGCCTTTACTGTGTGGGGTAAAAAGGGTAATGTGTTCTCAAAAGAGATGATTTACTGGCAGATGTACAAGTGACATTAACTGATATTTAGCTTCAATGTTTACTACTTGACCTGTTTTTAGGAACATCTAGATTCCTGTATAAGTGGTTGTTCATCATAAGAAATGTTAGTAAGTAATTCTGTACTTAAAATTCCAGAGAGTTTTGAAGAGTCTGGCCTTTATCTGAAAGAAAGTGTGATCAAGATCTGATTTGGGGGCATTAATCCATTTTTATCTTAAGAACCAAATAGGTGATTTTTATAAGATAAGCTTCACTTTTAAAAAGGTGAATGTGTTACTCTCACACTAKTTCTTGRGATGGAAATGAGATGGAATTTTGCRGTRTTTTTTTATGCTTAGAGTTTTAAAGTAATGGTGCAAAAAATGCTCACCAGTTATGTTCTGTAAATGATTAGGARCTAATTTAAATCACTGTAGCAACCTCACAGAAACAGTGTTTTTAGTTGGATATTGGCATCTTTGCTGGCTGGTGTTTCTGTTTTGGGAACAGAGCCCATTGAGTGTTTTCCTTTGGAAACATCAATAACTGGCTGCTGGGACAGATTCACCTGGCTCCATACAGGTAATGTATGTTCAGGAGTGTGACTGAGCCACAGGTSTGCTCACAGGAACTCCTGCAGAGAATTTGTGCTGGCTCTTTTATAAAATCCCCACAAACGTGGCTTTTCTTACGAAATCAAGGTGGGAGTTTTTCTTTAGCTGCAGTGAGTAGAGTGTGTGTACAGCTGCTCCAAAGGTACTCATGGCACTTACACAGGGAAGGCACTGGTTGGATGTGAAAAGGTCCTGCACAAGTTTCAGTTCAGCTTGCTTAGCAGAGGGATTTACTGCTTGGYTTGGGGTGATTGCTTTTCATTCTGTTCCATTTTTAACTTGTGGAGGCTCTCTGGCAGTGCCAGTGGGACACTCTGGAGGCTTCTCAGGGATGCCCAGTCCTGTCCCAGCTTTTGGGAGTGTTGATGTTCTGGGCTTGAGGGGCTGGGGCTTTGCTCCCATCCTGCTGGAAATACAGCACAATTGGATGCTCCTCGCTGGGTCCCTTTGCATCTCAGTGAAATGCAGAAATAAGTACAATCAATCCAGATCTCTTGATCTGGAAATCTCCAATAAATTCACATAGACTGCAGCTTTTTTCTTCCTTTGTCCAGAGAATGTTTTATGGCAGAGTTACCTCTCAAAGTGGTAATAACCCTGATGGTTCACAGGTCTAACCAAATTGAAGGACACACAGAGAAACATTGTGAAGATTTAAAAACTCTAAATTTAATTTAAAAAGCCGTACGTATTTCAAAGGTATAACACCACTATTTGTMCTATGAAAATTATTTGGGGATGGTAAAATACATTTGAAAGCTGAATATACCACTTAAGGCCCAAGATTGTATATCATGAGCACATTAATGTGGTTTGACTTTTAATCTAGCCAGAAATAGTAGAAATGATTGAAATTCAAYATTTGCTTGTTTTGTATTTAGTGCTTTGTAAATAAGATGTAATAAAACTGTGGAATAAAAACTCCATCATCAGTCTTTAGTTTATATATTTCATTTTCTGTTGGTTATGTTTGTTACATTTTACTGTGTAATTTATGTACAAGTCAACATTGGTTTTTTGTTGCTGTATGTAGTTGGTGCTGTGACTTGTTTGTGCTCATCTCTGTTCTGTAGGCAACTTGCCACTCTCTACTGAATAAAGCTACCGTAAAAGAAAAAAAGGAAAACAAAAAATCAGTAAGTTTGGAGACCTTTTTCTTAGCCATTTCTTTCAAAGCACAACAGAAATCTTTTGCTGTTTGTTCAAAATATCTTCACTTCAATCTGTTTGACCTCACTGTAAAATCATTCTACTAATTCTGGCACAAAATAGCTTTCATTTCAATTAACACTGGAATTAAGTTAGATTTAAAATATTCTCTGTGTGCCTATTTGAGTAAATTAGACATTTTTAACATTACTGCTTAGTAKTTAATATTCTGACTCTTCTAGCCTTGTCACCATCTTCAAATTAAAAAATTTTGAAAGAAAAATGTTTTCTTTGGTTTTGAGAAAAATCTGGGTCTGTTGAGCTGCTTTAACACTCTGGCAGATAACCTGAGCTTGCATCCTGGGCAAAGAACAATTAATATTTGTGGGGTACTGGAAAGAGGCTCATGGGACTTGTTTCTGACACATTTTCTTTTGTTTGCTTTGTGATAAAGCAAGAAAACCCCATCTTTAGCACATGTATTTATTTCCTGAGAAAAYCAGATTTCCCCTTTTAAGTAACTTGCTGTGATAGAGTTTAAATCTGTGGGTTGCTTTAGAGTGTTGTCCTTAGGAGTTCAGACTTTTTTTTGCAGTGACCTCAAAATACAAAGTATGAATCAATCAGAATGGAAATTCAGACTTTTTAATAAAGTACTCTTAGTTTTGCTGTAACTGAGCAGAATAGTAATCATGTTTAAAATGCAAAAGCTGTGAGCAAATCAGTGTTATACAAGAAAATATCAGTAATTGCATCACAAGGTAACTGAGTGGAGTTGCTACTGAACCAAAGTGATCCTTGGTGTATTTTGTACTAATGGCTTTGTCTGGTTTAAGCAGTATGATTTGAGATTGCATTAGTTATCTTTCAGAGTATTTTACTAAACTGGGATTTGTTTGGGTTTTTTATGATTTTAAACTATACATAATACCAAACTTGGTGATTTAATTCTGTCAAAAGGAGGGATCTGACTCATTTGGATTAACCATTGTTGCTCATAGAGAAATACACGTACAATACCCATATTTATGTTTTACAGAACCACATGTTGCATTATCTAAGAACTTTATTTTTGTCAGGAAGTTTTGTCTTTAACTTTTCAAATTCAAATGAGAGATATCTAAAGAATAACTTTTCTCTTAGTAATGCGTAAAAGGAAAGTAAAGGAAAAGAGATTTCTTTTTTCTTACAACGTTTTCAGTATTATCTTTTTTTCTGGATGGTGAAGCACAATATTTTCAGTCTGCTCAGAGACTTTTCACAGTGTTTGTGTATGCAGAGGAGTGCACTGACCACTCAGCTCTGCCTCCTGTCTTCCTGGGGACAGATAATGCTTCTGAAGGGTATTTCTACAAATAGCTCCTCYTCCCAAATTGAAAAGGACTCCTGAAACTTTCCAGCACAAGTGTTCTGGCTGGGGAGGCTCTTGGCTGTGCTGTGCAGTTACAAATCCCCAGATGAAGCCCCAGCAGTGCGAGGGTGGGGTGTGCTGGGCAGGGTCAGTGCCCGCTGAGTCCGGGCAGGGCAGGGCTCAGTTCTGAGAGCTGCAGGAGCTCTGTGAGCCATGTCCTTGCCAAGGGAGAGCTGGCAGCAGCTGAGGCACAGCCAGCCGGGCTCTGAGACCCTTCCACCCTTGTTCTGATCCCCTGGGATGCAAGAGAGCCCCGCTGCAATGCTGAGCATGGGCGGTGTGGAAGCARTGCTTAGGCTTGGCTTACCGTGCGAGGCTTTGGCAGCCCCGTGCCTTCCCCTAACACTGCCCTGTTGTGTGTGACTGTCCCGTGCACAGGTGGTGAGCCAGCGTTTCCCCCAGAACAGCATCGGGGCCGTGGGCAGTGCCATGTTCCTGCGCTTCATCAACCCCGCCATCGTGTCCCCGTACGAGGCGGGCATCCTGGACAAGAAACCCCCGCCCCGCATCGAGAGGGGGCTCAAGCTCATGTCAAAGGTGAACCACAAAGAGTTTGATGTGGCTGTGTTTTATGTTCTACCTGCTCTTTGACCAGGATGAGAAAATGTAGGGGAACTCAAAGATTTTGTAACAACGATCACATTTATTGAAAGTGCAGTTTCTGTGCCGTGTCTATGAACGTTGTATTGTTCAGGCTTTCAGCAATGTAAGGTTGGGGGCAAACACTTTGCCAAAAAGATGGATTAAGAGAGCAGAGTTCCAGCCCTTCACTTGAACTTCTCATTTGAAATCAGAGACCAATGTTCCTGTGAATGCTCCTCCTCACTGAGCACAGTGAGGGTAACAGCAGCCACCATTGATCAAGTTCATCCCACTGCTAAATGAATTTTTTCTGTCTTTAATCTCATTTGGTTATATTTCTTGTTAAAAATTCTTAAAAACGATTTAACAATGGCATGCAAATTCTGTGACCTGTGTATATTATCCATTTTAAATGTTGAGAAATTATATTTTTCTTGAAATAGGGGTGTGATACTGCTTTTACTTGTCTGTCCTAAGTTCCAGGAGAAATAATTAATAGCTTAATGGTTGTTCGAAAGATGTTTTCCTAGTTTAGCATTTGTAAGCAAGTGAAGTGGCTTGCTAGTATTTCAAAGCATGTGAAAGAAAAGACTTTGAAAGTGAATGTGCTTTAAATTATTTGACCTCCTGGCCTTGGTTGTGAAGCATCAAGACAACAAGTGAAAATAAACTTTCAGTTTAACTTTACTATAACAGTTACTACATTAAACCTTTGTGTGTCTTTACCATYTTTTTTCCCTTTAGATCCTTCAGAGCATTGCCAACCACGTGCTGTTTACAAAAGAGGAGCACATGCGGCCTTTTAATGACTTTGTGAAGAGCAATTTTGACGCAGCGCGAAGGTAGGGCCTGGGGATGGCACACAGGTTGTGCTGTGTGGATATTGAGCTCAAAGTGCCCTTGTACCCTCTGCTCTCCCTCCCATCTGATGGTTATTTCTGGGTTTGAATTGCAGGTTTTTCCTGGACATCGCGTCCGACTGCCCGGCCAGCGACACCGTCAACCACAGCCTGTCGTTCATCAGCGATGGCAACGTGCTGGCACTGCACCGCCTGCTCTGGAACAACCAGGAGAAGATTGGCCAGTACCTGTCCAGCAACAGGTCAGGCTGGGAGCAGGGGCTGTGCCTGATCCTGCAATGGTTTGGCTTGGAAGGGACCATAAAGCTCATCCCATCACACCTCTGCCATGGCAGGGACACCTCCCACTGTCCCAGGCTGCTCCCAGCCCCTGATGCCTTATCAGTCAGGCTGATCTGAAAGAGAGGCCAGACAAATTTAAGAGAATGAGAATACACAACTTTAATCCAGGCCTAACAGGCCCCTGGTACATTAGGGCAGACAAAAGCCTCCTGAGGCTACACCCAAAATGGACACCTGTCGCTGCTGTGTTAAACAGCGACAAAAAAGAATAAATATAAAATATATAAAAGTGGGTGAAAAAATAGAAAGAAAGAAGGAAGGATTTTATTGTGGGATAAGCTACTTTTATTTACTTTAGTAATTAGAGTACACATTTGTGTTAAACATACATTGGTTAAGAGATAGCTGTTTAATTAGTAATTAGAATATAATTGGTGAGTTTGCAAAAGTTACAGTATTAGTAATGTTTATAATTTTTAGCTACTTGTGTTATTAATTTTGTATTTTAATCTGTTTTTTTTAAGGATATAGTATTTTTCTTTCATGTGGGTAGTTAATATTTTTTTTTTTTTTAGGTTTTAGTTATACACAATGATTGCTTGAGTTTTAGAATCAGGGTCTGTGGGGCTCCGTTTTCTTACAGACACCAGGTCACGAGATCTTCACCTTTTATAAGTTCTGCCTTATTAACATATTGGGTCTTAATTCTCCAATGATCTTTACAGGTGATGATGTCACCCACCCCAAACTTGCTCCCCCCCAATTCACTGTTGTTTCCATATTTTGGGGCTCTGAGGTGTCCTTGGATTCAGCTCAGAGAGGAATTGTTTTGTCTAAAGATGAGAGAACGGTAGTTTTAGTGCTGTACTAGAGAAGTACAAGAATACAGATGCATGAAAATAGAGAAACTAAAAATCCTAAGGCATCACCCCAATGTCCAGCCTGGCTTTGGACACTGCCAGGGATCCAGGGGCAGCCACAGCTTCTCTGGGCACCCTGTGCCAGRGCCTCCCCATCCTCATAGGGAAGGATATCCAATCTAAATCTCCCTAATATCCAATCTAAATCTCCCTTCCCTCAGCTTAAAGCTGCTAATATTTGGAAATGCTCCCCAGTTCTTTTGTTATTAATGAGAAGTATATCAGTCTTCACTGAAGACTCCTCATGCTTACTTTAAAAAAGAATATCCAGCTTGTTCCAGGTGAGGAAGGGTTGTGGGCAAAAAAAAGTAGGAATTGCTGAGTAAAGAGGGACTTTGCTGACAAAGCACATGTTGTTTGTAGGGATCATAAGGCTGTTGGACGACGACCTTTTGACAAGATGGCAACACTTCTTGCCTACCTGGGGCCTCCTGAGCACAAACCSGTGGCAGATACACATTGGTCCAGCTTAAATCTCACTAGTTCCAAGTTTGAAGAGTTCATGACAAGGTAATGAGTTTATTGTGGTGGGGACACACAATGTGGGTTTTTAGACTTTATTGTTTGAGAAGTGTCAGCAGTTCTTAAGACTGTCACAGCTACCAAGATTCTGTTTTGAAGGGGAGTTTGAAAAGCTCGGACTACATAAACCTTTTAGGTTTCTGGGTAGATTTTAGTTAAAAAAAACCTAAATTGAGAACCAAAACTAGTGGTAACGTGTGATTTAAGGAAGGCTTAAAATTGTGTGAACTTAATAGTTCTAAGAACTTCTAAAGAACTTAGTAGTTCTTTATGGAAATAAAGAGGGTGTGGGATTTTTAAAATTTGTTTGAAAAGCATTTGTGAAAGTTGATTTCAATGTATTGCTTTTTAGGCATCAGGTACATGAAAAAGAGGAGTTCAAAGCACTGAAAACATTAAATATTTTCTACCAAGCTGGGACATCCAAAGTTGGCAATCCTGTTTTCTACTACATCGCTCGGCGGTAAGAAACCTTCACTTTCCCAGTCTGAAATGATCCTGTAAATCAAAGGTGTCAATGKATGTATGAGACACCAGCATGGTAACAAGCAAGAGTCTGAAAATAGCTTATTTATTACAATTTGCTGACAGTATTTTTGAGTTGTTTCCTAAACCAAAACTGTMATTTCTCAGTAATTACATCCATGACAGGAGTCATTCCTGGTGATGTTAAGGAAAGGGCAATCCCTGTGCTCACCCCAGGTTGGKCAGAAGCAGCTCTGTGGATTGGAGGTTCTGCTGCTGTTTGGCAGCCCTGCTTTGGCTCAGGGGGCCTGGGAGTGCTGCCAGGGATGGGAATTCTCCAGTCCTGGTGTAACCAGGCACTTTTGGGTGCTGGCACAGCCTCTGGGGTGTTCATGTTTGGGTCATTGCTGGTGCATTTTGTGCCTGTGGGGCTCCTGTGGCTGAGCTTTGTGCTGGTGCTGCCCRKGGTTTGTGCTCCCTGCTGGTGCCCRTKRGGGCASTGCCATTCTGGGAGCTCTTTGTTTTGTCGTGAGGGGATGCAATCAGTGGTGAACCTTTGCAGAGCYTTGGAGTTGATGTGAAAACATGGAAACAAGTGCAATAAAGCACTTCTTCAGCAGCATCTTCCTTCTGTAGCCAGCAGCTTAAACAGTCAACACAGATGTGTTAACAAGTCATTCTTCAAATTGCATGWTTATAATGAAAGCAGCACCCTACAGGCATGTAAGATTTTTTTCAGTTAATCACAATTTTAGATCCTGAATTTTATTACATTTAAATATTTTTTATTAGCATCAGTAGTGCATTTTACTCCATAGATTGAGTTATGAACCTCCTTTGGCTTGGGAAGTTGCCTTCCTTTAACTTTTCTGTATTTTCAACCCCCTTGACTCTTTGGATGGAGTGAAAGAGCACAGGATGAGAGGCATCACTTATCTTCTGTCCTGATTTTCTGTCTTCAAAAGCCACACAACAGTCCATGAACCTGCAGGTGTGCTGACAGAAGGGGCTATCCCCGAGGGAAGCCTAGATGCTTTTCTCCCCTTAAAAATTAATTCTTTTTTTTTTTTTTTTTTTTTTTTTTTAGCAAGATCCCTAATGTTTAAGCCCCTTACACACACAGAGTTAGAAGCAAAGGCAGTCTTTTGAATTCTCTTCAAAAACTCTCTGCTTGGCACGTTTTTTTCTCCATTTTGTTCTATTAGACACAGTCTTATTTCATGTCAAGTAAAACAAAATGCCTGCATTGTTCCCCTCCCTTGTTCAGACAAGRAATTAGGCATACAAATGCAGAGAGTAGTGATAACCCATCTTAAAAAGTGACTGTGTCTGGCAGTGATCCGAGGCATTCTTATGTATTCTGTGCAGAGCTGACATGCAGCGTTTCTTTCATTAGCAGAGCAAGAAATGGTTATTTCACCTGAAAAGAAAGACTTCCTGGAAATAAATAGAGACAAAGTTTGCACCACTTGTTTTCTAGGCCTAACTCACCTCCCTCTTCTTTAAAAGCAGAAAAATTAATTTATCCAAAGCTGCCTCCCTGAGCAAAGTCAGCATGGTCCAGTCAACCAAGCATTCCTGCCTTCAGAGAGGGGTGGGAAGGAGCAGATTTGTGACCATTCTGTCTGGGTGCTGGATATTAATGGCAATACTGTTGTACTTTGACATGAGCCTTGCTGCTAGGTGAGTTATTTTACTTCTCTTTAGCAGCTGCACAGTTCAGTCATCCTGGCAGGGCTGCCTTTCAAACCAGCAGGAAGGGCTTTGCTSTGGGATGGTGCTCTGGCATCATCTCTGCTTGTAGGAATGTGGCWAAGTGGTGCAAATGGTGCTTATTTGGGGTGTTTCTATTCTGGGTCTGAGCCAGATGTGTGAAATTGGGAAAAACTGTTTCGATTGGAGCTTCCAGGTTGTTTGAGGGCTTGTAGAAGGGTGGGTTTTTTTGGGGTTGTTTTTTTCCCTTTTTTTCCCTTTTTTTTTTCTTTTTCTTTGTTGGAGATCTTGTTGCTAAGGCATTGTTGAGTCATTTTACTGATATATCTGGAACAGTTTATGTCCTTCTTGTGCTGTGAAATTTAATTCCTTCTGTCATCTATCTTCACATTTTGTTTCCTGGGCAACAACCCAGCTTYTGGAGCCAGTGCTCTTCTGTTTTTAATCCCTACCCTGTTGCTAAAATGATCCATAAATCAATAAATATTGATCCTGAACTACTGCCATTAGGTTTTAAAGCTGATCCCAAACTAATTAATAGGAATACAAACGTCTGAGTTATTGCCTCAGACCACAGCAATCCCCACAGCAGCTCTACCCTTTCGAGAGTGAGCACATAGCTATTAAAGATCCACCAGAGCTTTTCTGAGTATTTTGAATATTGCTCTGAAATGCTAAATAGTTGTTTTGGATAGCAATCTCATTGAGAATAGATTATTTTGCATTTCTGGAGGTCTGAGTGCGCAGTGTGTTTACAAACCCAGGCGCTCGGGTTTAGCTCAGAGTGGCTGCGCAGTTGCCCAGCAACAAGTGCTCGACTCCCACTCTTCTGCCTCCTCCCTGCTGCCTTATCGACTCATTCGTATTCCAGAAAAATACCAGGAAGCCTAAATTCCAGTCTGCTTTATTGAAAGCAGTCTGAGCAAGGAGCCCTGGTGCTGCAGCAGCGCAGGCAGGGTTTGGGAGGGAGCACAGCCCTGGAACCTGGTGGTGCCGGCTGTTCRTACCCAGCTGCTGTCTGGGATTTCAGCTCCCCAATCCTGCACATGCATTTGGAAAATCCCACAGCCCCATTTCCACTTCCAGGCTTTTGTTACCATGCTGAAGAGTTTGAAGTCTAAATAGCAAGTCCTTCAGGGTGGGGACTTGTAATTTGCCCCAAATAACCTCTGGAGAAAGTGTTTCCCTGTTGCTGGTCACCAGACTAGCTCATTATGGGAGAAACATTCTCAGAGCCTTTAAAATTCATTCCATGTAGGTGTTCTTAATGCAATAGAATTTGGCATCCTGGACTGACTCTGCAGCAAAGACACAGGCAGYATTTCATGTCATTTCCTCAAATCAAGCAGTTTAGTCACAGCACTTTGTTTTGTGATCAGTCCTGCCTTGCAAGGCCAGCTGCTCCCATGTGGGATGAGGCAGTTCTGGGAATTGTGAGCTCTGAGCGTGGTGAGGAGGTTGGTGCTGTSTTCACTCAGCTCTTAGCAAACACAGGGACTGTCCAAAGAGAGTGGCAGCAGGGACTTTTTAGGTGTTTCTAAGTTCTAAAGGGTAGGAAGGGGAAGGATAATCCCAATGTTGCCCTCATCTCATCAGCTTCTTGCTAAGCAATATTAGAGATATATCAGTATCTTGATAATATAATTTAACCATAATTTCCCCCTAAAAGACATGAAGATGGAGCCAAAGGTCTTGAAACAGGTTTGTGTAATGCAGTGCTATTTATGTATTGGTATTACTCTTCTCATTTGAAAAGAAGCACAGTCATTAGTTCAGTTCAATACAAACATAACTTTATTTTTACTTAAATGCCAATGAAATAACTGTACAAATCCATTGTGTAACATTTACTGTTAGAAATTAAAACACGTTTCCGGTTATAGAAATACTGTTCACAATTGGAAAGTTGTCATTTCTCTGATACCAGTGGTTGTAAATGATCTACAGCCCCCATTGACACCTTAGGAGAAACAGGTAGAGGACTCCAGTCTTGGTTGTGAGGTTTTCTGGGTTTTGCAGCACCTTCATGCTACAAKAACTGGAAATTAAATGGCCTGGAATGAATGGAAAACTTCGTACAAGATCTGTAATATTAAGTGGATAATACTTTTTCAATTAACTTGTTCTTCAGTTTTCATTTCATGCTGTTTGCAAAACTTCATCTGTAATATATCAAGTACCTTTGCCATAATTTAAATAATTTTCCTAGAGTGGTCAGAACCATGCGTGCAGCTATTTCTAGTGGCTGACAGTGCAGATGTCAAGGAGAAGAGCATTCATGCTCGCCCTTAGAAAGCAGGGATTTGGGCATGTTCAGTGCCATGGACTGAATTTGTTCTCTTTGAAGTCACAAGARTCAGAATTGTTTCGATGACAGCTTGCAAGCTAATTGATTAATTGATTTGTTACATGACTTGTGTTAGAAATTGGCAGATATTTCATTTTACTGATAGTAGTTTGCTACGCTCCGGCTGATTCGTGATATTCTTTTAAGCAGAACATATTAACATTTCAGGATGTCACTTGACATAAAGTTAAGGAGTTCCAGGTCATTAATTTGGGTAGATAACTCCTTGGTGTTTGACAGTGTCATGGCATTGAACATCTGGCATTTTTCTCTACTTTTATCTTTTTTTTTTTCTTTTTTTTTTTTAATATATGGAGAGAGCAATAACTTGCCTGCAGTCTCTAAGTCAAGCCAGAGCAGAAGGATACCAGCCCCTGCCACTGTCCCATGCTGAAGTTGGACTATGTTGCCTTCTCAGTTTACACTCTCTTGGCAGACATCATGGCAATTTCATATTTAATTCCTAAATTCAAAACTGTTGTTCTTCATATTTAAAATACTTTAATACATATGAAGCGAACATAGATATACATGCTAGCGATTTTGCTCAGGAATAACTTCTATTTAGTGAAACAGCTCATTTTAGTTCCCTTATTTTTTCCCTTTCTTTTGCATGTCATCATAACTTACAAAGAATCTGTGCTGCTATATTACAGGAATTGCTCACTGGCAAGTCAAGCAAGACAATGCAGATATGATACAGGCCTTCTGTTTTTTTCCAGTTGTTCAATGACAAAATCATACATAAAATCAGTACTTAAAATTTTGATGTGTTTATTCTGTGCAAGTAAAATGAAAAATTTAAATATAAAATAAGCACATTTTTAAAACAAAATAATAGATTAGTTGTACTCAATTAAGACATATGAAAATAAGTAGCAGCTTAGTATCAAGACATTAGTGTGCACGTCTTTAAGAACCGTTACTTTCTTTAGATCAGTCAGAACTTTGAATTTSTTTCATTCTGATTCATTATTTCAGCTGGATGTCTTGGCTCCAGCTGTTATCACAGGAATAAACTCAGTAATCTGCCCAAGGTGCAAGGCCTCAGTCCATAGCCACAGCCAGGGCGTGAAGCAGTGCGAGATAAAGCAGCCCCGAGTGCCAGGAGCTGGCTCGGGAGGGCACGCGGCCGTCGGCGGCGCTCGGCGTCACCTCCTCTTTCCTTAAGGTAGCGGTTGTGCTTTGAGGCATCTTGGAGTAGTTTGTTGGCATTCCACTGGTGATGCTTAAAGTCATGGGAGTGGTGGAGGATCCYGTGGCAGGGCTCAGGCTGGAGTTGCTCTCGGTGGAGTCCTGGACGAGGATTGTGCGTGTGGCCGCAGCCTCCTGGGGGCCGTCGGGGAAGCGCAGCAGGGGCCGGTCCGTGCCGGGGAACAGAACCGGGTGGCTTTGGGTCACCAAGGGAGTGACCRCCTTGGCTTTAAATTGTTTGTGCGTTTTGGTCACTTTGGTGGGCTCGGATGCCCCGTCCCCTGCCTTGGTGCCTTTGATCATGGGGCTGGAGTCCAGGGCTGTTGGCCCCTCTGGGGCTGGCGAGGTGCTCGCCCAGGGCCAGGGCTGCTCAGCACAGGGTGCCCCAATGACACGGGCAGTTGTGCCCTGCACCCACTGCAGCACGTAGGCGATGTTTTGGTTATCGCTGCAGGACCAGGGGTTGTTGTATAGAGTTACSACCTGCAGCTGGGAGAGCTGGTCAAAAGCTTTGTCAGGAATGTATGAGAACTTGTTGTTGTGCAGGTAGAGGCTTGTGAGGTGTTGCAGTCTCACCAGTGTTCCTGGAAGGATCTGGGACAAGAAGTTATTGGATAGATCCACTGTCTCTATGTTGTAGGGCATATTGGTKGGAACTGTCCAAAGTTTGTTGCTGCTGAGATTGAGAAACTTGAGACTGCTCAATGTGTTGTTGATCAGAACAGCTCTTTCCACCATATTCCTGGAAATATCGAGCACTCTAAGATTCCACTGGTAAGCTGTATCAAGTTTCTGAAGAACTTTAATGTTGTTGTTTGTGGCATATAAYTCCCATAAGGACTTGGGCAGATGAGCAGGAACATTCTTGAGCCAATTATTTGAAATATCAAGGGTCCTCAGATTGGTGAACCTCGTTAGCTGATGATCGAGRTCTACAAACTGGTTAAAGGACAGATTTAAATATGTAAGGTTGTCTTGAAGTCCCTGGGGCAGTACAGTTAAGTTTCTGCCTGAACAGTCCACATTTCTGTCGTTTCCTGAGCACTTACAGCTAGAAGGACAGATACCCAAACCAGTGGGTATGAGAACCAGAAGGACCAGCAGACAGGTAGATGTGTTCAGTATCTGGTATTCCATTGTTGCCTGGAAATAAATATACCAAAATGACACCCTTTAAATCCATGTAATACATTTTGTCTCCGTATAAGGGTTGTCTTGGCAATGGCCACTTGCAGGAGAAATTAAGTAAAAATATCAATAACCCCCTTTGTGGCACGGTCCTTTTTAGAATTGTTCAAGAGAGACTTCACAAAGCATCCCTTCAGCCTGTCATGTTGTCTGGCAGAATGAGACTTGTTTTTTCATCTCCCTGTCCCCCTTCAGCTCAAATGAGGGCTTTCTTCCGAAAATGCAAGTCTCTTCCAAACGTTATACAATGTCTGCTTCTTGTTTTTAGTGATTTCAAGCCTATATTATGTTTGGAATAATGTGTTCATTTATAGAGGATGAAAAAATGGCTGTCAACTGGATCTTCACAAATCTCTGCAGTAATGTAGCAGTCCCCCCCATCCAGGCATGCTGTTTGCTTAAGTAAATTGGTTAAAATACATCGTAGGAATTTAGCTTGAAACCCAAATTCCCACATTCATGCTAACATGCACTGTAGCATTTTTCCCTCCTTACAGTGTTAATTACGATCTCAGAGCTGGAAACACATGTTTAGAATCGGAGTTACCATTAGTAAGAAATCTCTGACACTGCAGCAAATTTCTGGTGCAAGCATCTGTCATCAGCTACTAATTCCATTCCCGTTTCCTTCTCTGATTTGGTAGTAGGATTTTGTGAGTAAAAYGAAAAAGCCCAAACTTACCGCGGTGTCCTGCAGGATCAGCACATCGTTTCTGTGATGGATTGGAGCTTAGAGGTCGCCTTGTTCTGGAGAGCAGCTCCAGAAGCTGCCGGGGGCTGTGCTTGTCTCAGCTGCATCGTACGGCTGCGCCCGGCTCCGCAACCACCTGATCCTCTGGGCACTGCAGAGCCGGCCTCGAGCACAGCCAGGGACCTGCCAGGGCAGGGCTGGGCTGGGCTGGGGAGAGGGAGGGAGGGAGGGAGGGAGTGCCCTCCCTGCTGCACAGCCCCGCTGTTGCCGTGCCCCAGTACGGTACCTCCGGCTCCCTCACACCCGGCACGGCTCCCCCAGCTCGGCTCCCTCACATACGGCCCGGCTCCCCCAGCACCGGGCACGGCTCCCCCTGCACGGCTCCCCCACACCCGGCCCGGCTCCTCCAGCTCGGCTCCTTCACACCCGGCACGGCTCCCTCACACCCGGCCCGGCTCCCCTCACACCGCCACGGCTCCCCCACACCCGGCACCCCTGTACGGCTCCCCCACACCCGGGACGGCTCCCCTCA